TTTAAAATACATTTTAGTCTCGTCTTTTTTCGTCAACGAAATTGCATGTCGATATAGACATAGTTATCGTTTATTGACCTTACTGTCGTCTCATCTTCGTCTCATCTTAGTCATGGGAAAAAAACTCACCAACAAACATTTTTCGTCATAGTTTTCGTTAACGAAATTAACAGTAGTTGCAATATTGGATGCTCTAATCGCAATATACACAACATGACTGTCTGTTGTCACAAAGGTCAATATTGGCAATGATGTCAGACAAATCGCTGTAAATCACAATGTGTAACATGTTGCTAAAATGTTTGACATCAGCAAATTCAGCATGTCCTTTCAGTTGTTTAGAATGCATGTGAATTAGCTCTTTTCAAATCAGTTTGTCAGATATTTGTACACAAACATGACTCCACAAACAGATCATGATTCTCTAGATCACATGTCGTGTTGTAAGCACGTACTCGTGCTTACTGAGTCTCTCTCTCTCGCTCATGTGAGAGCTTCACATATTCACAGATGCTAAAGTTGTTGCAGTACTTCATAAAACTTTGTCTTCCCCGCCTTTATATTCTTGTCGAATGTTCTTCTTTTTCATTTTCGGCACTGAGCTCGCTCTCTTTCATGGTGGGGCCCTACAGGAAGTGGGTGTGTGTGTTAGTTTGGAGTGGGATGGAGGAGTGGAGGGAAAGAGGAGGGGAAACAGAGGATGCTGAATAAAATAATAAACAGCTGCCACTGGAGGGAAAGACAGGAGAGAGAGAGAAAGTGGAAGAGAGAGCGGGAAAAGTCAGCTCAGGGAGCCAGCAGTCAGAGTAGACCACAGAAGAGGAAAGCTGGCCAGCCAGAGAGTTTTAAGAAAACTTTTGGAAGTTCTGGAAAACTCCAAGCTGCCTGTGGAGAACTTTACACCTAGAAAGAAACCTCATCTCAGACGTTTTCTTCAAGTGCTGATGTGAAGATCAAAGTGGACTTGTGAAACTTTGGGTTCGAGCAAAGATGAAGACCTTCACATCTCACTTGCTTCTGGCCTTTCCTCATGTCTAGATTTGGAGATGTTCTCCTCACGAGTAGACCTCCAGCGCTCTTCTTTAGGTCGCTGACTCTGAGTGCGTGTTTTCCACGAGAGAGAGCGAATCGGACAGCCGTGCTGCTCTCCTGCCCTGCCACACAGAGGCTCTTTGACACGGGTAATTGAGTACGAAAGCTTGCCCGAGGGTCACAGGAACCTGGAGGAACAAGACGCTTTCTGTGTGTGTCTGGACTAGAGAGAAAGAGCCGTGTGTGTTAACAAGTAAAGCGATCCAACCAACATTAGGATATTTGGATGAATCCCTAACTCTATCTTCAATCTGCCTCCAACATCCAGGTCTGCAGAAGATCCTAAACACTGGGCAAGACCCATCCAACACTGGAGCATGCGTCTCTCAGCACAAAGCGGCAGAGCTTCGGCACAGGCGCTCAGGCTCCGCTCCACGCCGCCAGACGTGTGTGTGCTCTCCACAGATGTTCCTGCATATGATAAGCTGCGTTATGCGTGTGTGGACCCCAGAGGAGACTGATCCGTTGCCAGATTTCTCTCCGTCGTTGGCGTTCTGGAATGTAGCGCGGTTGAGGTAGACGGCGATCATGATGATTGGTCTGAACTTCAGCTTGCAGGAGTTGCTGCAGAAGTTTGAGGAGGTATTTTCAGATTTGATTGTGGAGGAATGGATCAGGGTGCTGTGGCGACTGGGTCCGAAAGTTACACAAGTGCCAAAAGCGAGTCAGAACTGTTGCTCACCAGATTGTTGGAGACTACATCTGTAACGCCATTAAAGATCATTAGGGATGAACTATTAACATGTCTTGTTTAAAGGTGTCCTTGTTACGGTATAAAGTGTGATATTAATTAATAACATGCAATTACCAGGGTTGTTATCATTAACAAGAACCATAAAGCAAACATTAACTGAAATAAAATGTCAAAAACATAGTATTATTTTTTTTCAGCTTATTGCCAAGGCAGCACTTCTCATTTTCAATCAGAGTTGAAAAACTGGCCGGTTTCACAGACACGGCTTAAGCCTAGTCCCAGACTAAAGTGTAAGTCTGAGCTGTTTTAACTGAAAGAAACTTGCACTGACTGATCTTAAATATATATCAGTGCCTTTGTTTTCTCTCAAGATGCACACCAGTAATGTTTTTCTAAGGCATGTTAATAAAAATTACTTAAATGTCCTAATTGAACTATGGCCTAATCCTGGCTTAGTCTAAGCCCTGTCTGTGAAACCGGGCCTAAAATTACTAAAACTAAAAAAAAAACTAAAACTTAATAAAAAACTATCTAGACATAGGAAAAAAAATTAAATAAGAAACAACAAAATTACTACAATTTTAAGCAACTCTAAAATGTAAACAAAACAGAAACTTAAATTGATACTTAAATGACACCAGTACTTACTTTAGGTTTAGGGTTAGTTGCTTATAATTATGTGTAATTTACTGTTATTAATATAGTAAGTGCATGTAACGTGTAACAAGGACACTGTAAAATGAAGCGTTACCAAAATTAAGAACAATAAGAAAAAAATTATGGATTTTAAATCTGATGTAAAATGCAAAGATCTCCAGTATTGACTTATACTTATGATTATGTATATATATATATATATAAGCTTCAAATTGAACAACTACTCTAAAGAAACGTTTACATTTGCTTGGGAATTTCCGCATCAGATGTTTATCTAGAATGTTGATGAAGTGTTTTGTTTTTTGTTTTTTTTCCTCCAAAACTACATGGAATCTTCTACCTTCTCCTTAAACCACCAAAGCTAAAGCATGAGAAACAAAATAACATTTTTGTGATTGGGACAGTTCACTAAACGCGGTGGACAGTTTCATCTGGTATATATATTGCTGTGAGTGACACAATGATCTGTTTATCACAAAATCATTTATTTAATTAAACAATTATGCCATTTCCTGACCTGTAAAGAAAGTCCCATAAAGGCTGATCTGTGAATTATCCCAATTTTGTCCTCGATCAAGACACTCAAGCGCAGGTCTCTGGAGGGGACGGTACAGCAGCAACTGTACTGTTAGTCACAACTTTTTTAATACTTCCAGTAAAGAGAGGTTTCAGAGCGCACTCAGTGTGAAGAGCTGCTCCCACCTGTGTGTGTGTGTGTGTGTGTGTGTGTGTTAGTCCATGAGGATGCTTCCACCAGCAAACAAGGAAAGGTCAAACATGAAAATGTCAGGTTTTTTTCTTTTAACCTGTGTCTCTCGGTCTCTCTCTCATGGGTCTGTGGGTAAGTCTGGTTAAATTAGAGCACACTGAACGACAGCTCTGGGGAGTCTTTATGATCGAGAAGCAATTATTTAACTTTATTAACGAGAAAAGCTTTTTTATTGCTTCGTTTAATAGGTCAGACTGCCAGATGAGGGAGTTTTAGTGTGTGTGTGTGTGTGTGTGTGTGGGGGGGGCTCGTGTAACAAACATTTTGACATTTTTCTTTGTTTCCCTAGGTGTTAGTGTGTGTGTGGGTGTGTGTGTGTGTGTGGGGGGGGCTCGTGCTTGAATTGGTCACAGTTAAATATTTCATTAAGAACTATAACAGATGAACAGCAGAAATGAGATTTCTAGAGCGCTGAAGCTTCAGTCTGCTGCTTCTGTGTGTCCATGTGTCATGAGAATTAGGCAGTTGCTCGCTTGATGCAAATTGCAATCATAAATGACAATAAGCATCCAGAATGGCAAGCTCCGATCTGATTGGCTGACTGTGTTTATTCTGGGCATCGGTTGTCGCTGTTCACCTGGGAAAAATAGTCCTGTTTACCTCAAACCAGACAGCATCTTTTGAGGAAGATGTATTCACTGCATTTTCCAAAGTTTGTGAGGTCCATGAAGTTTTTTTGTTTGAGTCTCTTTTTTTTTTTTTTTCGACCATTCTGTATCTATTAATACAGATATACAGATATCCAAAAGATCTGTTTATATGTCAGTCAGACAGTGTCTTACAGTGTAAGTAGTCTATTCTTGTGTCTTTCTCATTAAATTCTGTCAGGACCTTCAACATAACACTACTTTATTTCATCTCTGTGCGTTCTGATGTGTGTTTCAGCAGCATACAGTTAGCACTGTTGTGTGTGTTTATTGGTATTCTGGTGTATATTGTTTAAAAGAGTGACGGAGAGAGAGAGAGAGTTTGTCAAGTAGCAGAGTGCACTTTGCAAATGAACTGGAAAAGACCCAAACCTCCTTCTACCGTCCTCTACATGTCTCAATATGTCATTCAAATTCAAGCAAGCTTTATTAGCACGATTAAGGCAAAAAATTGCACAAAAAAAAAAAAAAAAAACCAGCACAGCAACTGCTGATCCAATCGATGTTGATGTATGATAAATATCCAGAGTAACATTAGACAGAAAATCCTGCAGTGTGCTGTAGTGTTGTGCATTTCACTAGTAAACTTTGAAGGCAGTTTGATATTACAGTTTGGTTTTAAACATGATGTAAGTGCTGATATATTGTGTTTTCGTCATATAAATTGTGGTGCTGTGTTATATAAGGAATGAAAACCGAGCTCGATAATCTACTGAAACTAAATCAACCAAAATTAGACATAAAAATAAACTAAAGTAAACAAAAATAAACAAAAAAATATATTATAAAAAAAGTTCAGTATTAGTTCATAACTGATAATTCTATTGGATGGTGTGAATGAGTAGATTATGTGCTCAATGTCTTTATGGGTGCTTTCACGTGTAGTGTGATTAATCTTCAGTTCAGTATGCTGTGCGTGTGTGTGTTTGTGTGTGTGTGCGTGCGTGCGTGCGTGCGTGTGTGTGGTGAGGTTCAGTATCAGACTGACAGCTTTAATTGTGTTTTCTCCTCTCAGCGGAGGTGTGGAAACGTCTCTGTCTGTCTTTGTTGATTTATTTATCTTTTCCTTTAACGAATCCACACAATGAAGGTGGTAACAGTGCAATTAAAGCAGTCTCTGTCTCTCTCTCTGTGTGTGTAGGACATCCAGGCGGAGATCGAGGCTCATAATGATGTCTTCAGGAGTGTGGATGGGAATAAGATGAAGATGGTGAAGGCTCTGGGGAGCTCAGAGGAAGCAGTTTTCCTCCAACAGAGACTGGATGATATGAACCAGCGCTGGAACGACCTGAAGACCAAATCAGCCAATATACGGTCAGTCTCACACACACACACACACACATACTTGCATTTGTGGTTTACGGGGACTCTCCATAGTGTACTGTACAAACTGTATTTTCTATCGCCCTACACCTAAACCTACCCCTTACAGAAAACTACTGGCAATTTTTGAATTTCATAAAACACTGTTTTGTATAATGGTTTTTATACTGTACAGACTGTATTTTCTATTGCCCTACACCTAAACCTACCCCTCACAGAAAACTACTGGCAACTTTTGAATTCCATAATGTTTGTTTTGTATGGTTTTTTTTAAGCCTTTTGTTTTACAGGGACACAGGAAGTGCCCTCATAAACCATGTTTACATTGTAGTACCCATGTCATTATACACATTTGTGTCCTCATAAACCATATATACCAATACACACACACACACACCTCAAGTTCAAGTGTTGAGGTCACTTGAAAACCATCAAACATGAGTCACTTAGTAAGGGCAGATGGAGCTGTGTTTCACTTCTATTGTCAATTTTAGCAAGTGTGTGTGTGTGAACCATTTCAAATGGCAAAATGGACAAACAGGAGACTGTGTCTGTGTGTGTGAGAGAGGAAAACAGTGTAATTGTGTTCTAATCTAATTAGGCACTAATTAGTGAACACGTGTAATTACAAGTCTTGCTGGTGCATCCATTAACATACACACACATACACATACACATCAGGGCTTGACACTTCTTTTTTCCCTAGGAGTTTTTAAGTTGAAAAAATAAGCACACTAATATATATAGAATATTTATAATATAATAAAATATATCAAATAACATGTTTTCCCTTAATAAAATAATACAAGGAGACATTTACAAGCAAAGCGATTTAATTATTCGAATACAAAAATACACACAGTATTTTTGCTTCAAGCTGTATTTTATAGTACTGCAATTATTTATAGGCCTGCTTTAAACTGTATAAACTATATTGGCATAATCTGTTTATTACAGTTATACATATGTCTGTATAATTGTAAATACACTGGGACTCTTATTTTGAAATGTCTATGCTTTACTGCTTATTCAACACGAGGAAGATCAAAGATGCACTCTTACTGCCATCTACAACATATTGCAATATAAATGCCACAAAGTAAACATTGTTATAGTTAATCAACAACAGATCATGATCAATCTATTGGCTTAAATGAAAAGTGCTCTAAAACAGCGAGCTTGGAGAATGCACAACAGCACCGTGTTTTTACTTTGAAACGTGCAGTATTTATCATATTTATTTTTATATTAGACTGAAATTACATTTTAAAATCCTGTTTTTATTTTTTTTAAGGATCCACGGGGTCCTTTTTTTTTTATTCGTGCACATGCTTCTAAACACATTTTAGAGTTCTGCCACATCTATTTTAATAGCATATGTGAGTATAATCCTCACACTGTCAACCCCTGCACACACACACACACACACACACACATAAAAAAAGCTTCACCTGTTGCACTCATTCTGTTCAGAGAAAGACCGTTGGAAAGTTTTCCTGTGTTTGTGGGACAGCATCTTCATTAGTGTTCAGATGTGTATGAACGTGTGTGCAGGGCTCATCTGGAGGCCAGTGCTGAGCGCTGGAACCGGCTTCTGTCAGTCCTGGAGGAGCTGGGCCGCTGGATCAGTGTGAAGGATGAGGAGCTGAACAAACAGATGCCCATCGGAGGAGACGTGCCCACAGTGCTGCAGCAGCAGACCCACTGCATGGTGAGAGCCGTCTCATGCTCCTCTCACCTCTCTCTTTTAATCTCTTCTCATCTCCTCCCGTCTCATGTACCTTTTTCTCAAATCTTTATTTTCCCATTGTCTCCTCTCCTCTCTCATCTTCTCATCTCTCTTTTCTCAAGTTGTCTCCTATCTCACTTTAAAAAAAATCTGTCTTTCTCAAATCTAGCTCTTCTCATTGTCTTGTCTCCTCTTTTAATCTTGTCTCATTGCTCTCTTCTCATTGTCTCGTCACCTTGACAAGAATTGCATTTATTTAGATGCAGAACGTCTTTATGAGCACATCAAACCGGAGACGTTCCAGACTCGCACTTCACTTCGTCTCAGCGTCAGCTGCGAGTCAAACAAGTGCGTAAACGGTACTGTGCTTGGAACGTGTGCTTTTCAATTGCAGGCACAAAGGCGTCGCTGCGCGCTGTACCCTGTACCATTTCATATCAAAGCGGGAAAGAAGCTACGAGCATGCAATGTCATTGTTATGTCGTCAGTTAAGTCACGGAGTTACCAAAAAGGCGATTAAAGTGGTCTTAAACTCTACATGCATGTAAGTATTTGTTATATGAGTTACATTTAAGAACATGTCTCTGAAATGGTTTTCAGAACTGTTCTGGAGCAGCCCAGCACTGTCTCCCTCATCGAACACACCCGATTTAACTCGTCAGCTCATTAATAAAGACTTTAAGACCTGAAGTGGCCATTTACTAAAATAGAAACTTGGAAAATTATGCCGGAGGTGTTTATAAACATTTTTATGCTTTTCTTTTTTATTTATAAAAGTTGTAATTTATTGAACCATGCTTGAGACAGTCACACCATAGGACAATTTTGAGATTTGGCTCAAAAAAAAAAAAAAATAACACTGCAGCTTTTATAACAACAGGTTCATGTAGGACAAAGAAATGTTTAATGATTTACTGCATTTTAAATAACGACAATATTAATTATATTCATTTTTATCTTGTGGGACAGTGAAAATACCATGTCACGTCAACAACCCATGTATAAAAAAGAAGACATGAAAAGCTGTGGAGTGAGAAGAGAAAAGTTTTTTTTTTTTTTCATAGATGAACAATTTTTGGTACCCAAGATAACCTTAAAATATATGCAGTCAAAATTAGTGCGTTAACGCATGCAATTAATTTTTCCAGTTTAACTGCATAAAAAAATATTTCATGCAGGGGCGGGGCTAGGGTTGGCCACACCACTCACAACTGCTGCTTCTGTCTCTTTTTTTCTTGACAAAAATTGCGCAGATCTTTTAAGACCACATCAAACAGGAGACTTTTCAGACGCGAACTCCAGCTTCTCCTCAGCGCCAGATGTGAATCAAACGAGCGCGGAAACGGTACAGGTGACGAGGAGCTTCAGTAGAACATCAGTGAACTGCAGTCAGATGAGATGTTGTCAGTAAAAAAAATTTTTCCTGTTCTATCAGCTGTTATATTGTGCTTGTACCTCCACCTCTTCAATTGCACAAACAAATGCGCCGGCACACTGTATATAAAGCACAAAAGAAACTACGAGCATGCAATGTCGTATGTCGTCAGTTAAGTCATGTAGTTACCAAAAGACGATTAAAGCGGCCTTAAAACTGTACATGCATGTAAGTATTTGTTATATGAGTCACATTTAAGAACATGTCTCTGAAATGGTTTTCAAAACTGTCCTGGAGCAGCCCGGCACTGTCTCACTCATTTAACACACCCGATTTAACTCGTCAGCTCATTAATAAAGACTTTAAGACCTGAAGTGGGTCAGAAAAGGTACAGAGTTGTGAGAAAATACGATGCGTGTCAGATCTGCGTCATGTTCAGCAGCGGCAGCTCTTAAAATAATAGCAGCCAAATAACCTAAGCTGCCGTGATGTCTGTTAATCAAAGGACAAAAGAAAAAAAGAGGATATCAATAAATGTTGTAGCTTTAAGGATTCATCTATATTTAATTTAGAATTTAGTGTTTGATAACTTTATT